TAAAAATTTTTTTTTTATTTTTTTGACAAAATATTTTATTTTTATTTAAATATAACTTAGCATTAAAAAAATACACACAGCTTCAAATTTTCACCCTTTTACGATCAACTCCTGTTTTTTAAGCGCGATTTTTATATTCCGCTATAGGGTTGCAAGATGGCAATCGAATATAATAAAATAAGTATACTTTAATTGCCTGCAATGCTTCATTCCTCTTTCAATTATAATTACATCCTAACACACTTATAGTGTTAGCTATTTTTGATTGAACTAAAAAAACTATTTTCTAGAAATAATGTATATGGCAAAACAACGTTTGCGGGGTCAGCTAGTTTTCTAATAAAATCTAAACCAAAAATATCAATCTCTTTGTCTATAGGTATATCGAATTGAGGTTGGTAACCCTAAATTTAGTACCAACTGTACTTGGTCTTGGACTATTTTTTTTTTCATCTTTGTTTACAAACACATTATTGAGTAGTACTAAAAATAAAATGCTTACAGTCAGAGTTGTAAGCGTTCTAATTTAAGTATTACTATTAAATAAACATATAAGAATTTTATATGAAAAGCCCAGTTTCCGTACAACGCGATCTGATTTCACAATTGTATACGAAAAATAAAATTATGATCGACCTATTTCGATTGGCTATTTCGTGTCATGTTTATAGTTTTCTATTGAGATTTCAATTGTTTGATGATAATAAATAAGCATATTCATTCACAGATGCAATAAACATTTCGCATGCAATGAAAGATATTTGTCTGTTTATACCCGTTTGTATTTAAAACAACAAGAATATGTAAATAATAATCAGTTCTTATAATGTTATGTTATTAATTAACCAAACTTACATACATTCTATTGTAAGAAAGTGAAGAATAACTTTGCTAAAAATATTAAAAAATTTTGGTTCTGACAAAAATTCTAGCAGCGAACTCTGTAGAGTACCTTTTGTTTGTACAACTTAAAATAGCAAACAAGCTGATGACCCACTTGATGGAAAGTGTTAGTCGTCGCCTATAGACATGAGCAGTACCATGGACATAACAGAGTATACTGTTTCGCCCATGATACTCCCCATGCCTTGTCATTCTTGAGGACTCAGATGTTATTCCTCTGTACCCTGTAAAATCACGACATATGTGGGATATGGCGAAAATAGCCTTCAAACCGAAACACAGCCATGCAAACACAACTGCTTTACGGTTGAAATACGAATGGGACAGAAGTACCCAAGCAAACGACTTTTGTACAAAGTCTCCCTCTGGTAAAACCTGATATGACCTAATATTTATCTCGAAAAATCTTAATATGAATGTACTCTGGACAATTTAACAAAGGATAGTGTCGTTTATTTTTCTTCATTTATCATTCTCTTATAATTTTTTTTCCTTTAAAAATACCTGACATATTTATATAAGGTAGACTAAAGCAAACACTAAAAACATTGGGCTTAATTTTTATATTTATTAAATAAACATATGAGTCACATCAGACACACGGCTAGTGAATATAATAAACATTAAATGTTGACCCATACACCTTACATAAACCGAGACTTTCACCTCATTAAGAAGATTTGTTGCAATAGTTTGTTATAATGAATGTAAGTAGTTTATAAAGCCCTTTATAAGGCCATATCATACCATAATAGTTTTATTGAATAGGTCAGAGATTTACAGATACGAGCTTAATGATCCGTCAGTATGAAAAGTATTAAAATAGAAAGTTCAGTAATATTAGAATAAAATAGATTAATATATATCTACACCTGGTGATAATTTAACACCATTACTATGTTATATTCTATGGGGAAGGCTTATTCCAGCAGTGGACTGATAATGGCTAAAATGATGATGATGATGATGATTTCGTTGTCCATTTCCGATGAGTCAAAGAAAAATAAAATAAATTTTTATTTGAGTATTAAAAACAAGCTTTGCCCCCGACTTCGTTTATGTGACTGAAGTAACTGTTACGTTGTGCTTTACAAATTAATATTACACGTCTTCCCAGCTAAAATATGATTATTGTAAAAAATATATAACCAATGTTATTCGGAATGGTGTAACGTTTCTAACAATACCCCATTTTATGGGATACCTATTATTAGAAATCTTCAGACATTTCCAAAACATAGTGAGGCACAGAAACTAATGAAACGAAATAAATTAATCCTAAAAACTTATCTATCCTTTTTTGGACAGTCGTATAAAAAATTCATGTCCTTTCCCAACTCAAATACGACGTTCATGTTATATTTTTAAAACAATTAGTTAAGTAATTAAGGCGTCGAGAAGCGAAAAAAAACTAACTCACTTTCACATTTATAACATAGTAAGGATCATGCTTTAACAAATAAAATACACCATGAAAAAGCGAGTTGAATGCACTGTAATCACCATAACGATAAAACCTAGTACCCACTTTCCCACTTCTAGTTTCCTTTGTTCGCGCACCGATAAGGAATTATGACACGCGATAGACAAACCGACATGGCTCAAAATGTATAATTAGTATTCTAATGAGCTCTCTGCCGGTGTCTTAGTCACGATATTTGACTTGGCGAACCTCTACCTAGATAAGTATACATTACATACGTAAATCTCCATTTGCATTATACATATTTTAAGTGGCTATAGGCATAGGTAATATTGGTACCGCTGATATTTATATATTAGGTTTCTCTGGACTATAATGAAAGAAAAGGTCATTACCTATTTCAATATCGCCCATACCAGTCGGATATCTATATTAATGCCGATCGGATTCTTTATTTCTATATTATATTAGTATTGAATATATCTATTAATGGATTAATATCTAAACACAATATATAGGTATTGCTGTATTGCCTGTATTGCCCTAATACACAGCAATACCTATATAAACTAGGTAAAATATTTTTTTATACAACTTAGAATGGCAAACAAACTGACGGCCCACCTGAAGGAAAGTGGTAACCATCGCTTATAGACATGAGCAGTACCATGGACATAACAGAGTATACTGTTTCGCCCATGATACCCCCCATGCGTTGCCATTCCTGAGGACTCAGGTGTTATTCCTCTGTACCCAGTAAATTCACGCCATATCCCACAAACACAACTGCTTCACGGTTGAAACACGAATGGGACAGAGGTACCCAAGCAATCGACTTTTGTACAAAGTCTCCCTCTGGTTGTTTGTTAATCTGAAATATAATATATGTATATACAGTAATCTCACAAATAATATAAACTAGCTACCCGAATACCCGATGTGATTTAATATTTTTTAAGATCTCCGTACTGTCTTCTATTTTTTTATTCAAAAGCTTTCAGTATTACGTACGATTGTTCAAACATTTTCTTTAACACAAATTTGTCCGGCCAATTACAAATACAACAATAAAATTATGAGCCAAATTGATGCATCCATTCGAAAATATTTTATTTCTATACCTATATGTAAATATATAAAGCCTATCTTCTAATAGGAAAACACGCTGTTATGCAGCGGGAATAGATAAAACAGAACGAAACTAGAACATTGAACTAAGACCTCTGCTCAAAGTACGACCCTGACCCACATGTATCCATCGACTTCTTGCGACCTTTATTGCCTGTAATAAAGTAATCATGGTATAAAATATGCCATAAAAATTAGTTTTATGTAGTTTTAAAATAGTAATTTTCTTCAATATATTGAAATAGCAATCTATCGATCATAAGAAAGGCGTGCCAAGGGCAGTACCGTTGCGTGTATATTAAAATGTTCGATCCACATCTGACCAGTGTGTGATATTGCATCAATAAATCGATAAGTATAAAGAATCGATTTAAGTCACGACAAATCGATATAATAATATTTCTATGGAAACCGTTAATATAATAATTGAGTTAGAAGCCTTTTGAATACTATTCATACGTTATATGTGAATGAATGATGAAATATTTTTATACGTACCTGTAAAAGATACGTAATATTGAATTTAATTAGTTTTTACTTTTGGTCTTACTTATCAAACAGCGCCATCTAGAATAAATTTTGCGCTATTAATACTAAATAACATTCAATATGGCCGTGTAGTCTCGGTATAGAATAAGTCACAATTTTCTATTCCGTGGGTGTCGTAAGAGCAGACTAAGGGAAGGCAAGGGATGGGCAGCAGCGTCCCTCTTAAAACATCTCTAAAGCCTGACTGCGGTTGCCAATCCGCCTGCCAAACGTGGCACCTTTTGGCAAAACCACCCAAGGGAAAGGCTTATGTTCGGCAGTCGACAGTTAAAGGTTGATATGATGATGAAGATGAACATTTATTTATTTATTTAACTCTATATTGCACCATAAATAAAAATATACAATGACAAGTGAATAATTCAAGTGAAATACAGTAACATAAATACAAATATACACATAAAGGTACAAAAGGCGGTCTTATCGCTAGGGCAATTTCTTACAGACAACCATTGGTTAAAGGAGAACAGATAGAAGTGAACATTCAATATCATATATATATATATATATATATATATATATATATATATATATATATAGCGGAAATAACTAAACACATAATTTTGATATTCTAGTATAACTCACAAATATGTATTCAATTTACCAATTATTAGCAATAAATTAAAATAATGTTGTTTGGTTTGCCATAAAAAATTGTAATATATCCATCCGTTCTGTAATTACTGCTTATAATTACCTATATCAGGAACTTGTATGTTTGTGCTTCCGCCAATCAGTTGAGCCTCGTTAATATTTATAACATAACACATAATTAATTCTTCAATGTGTAAAAATCGGTCAAGTGCATATTAGATATCATTAGAAATTGTGGTTTAAATTATGCTTAGATGTAGTACATAAATATATATATATATATATATATATATATATATATATATATATATATATATATATATATATATATATATATATATATATATATATATATATATATATATATATATATATATATACACACACACATATATTTCATTTATGAAGTAAAAAGGCTGTCTTACATCTTCTTCAGTGTAAATAATGTTAACCATATTTTAACCTGTCAACTTCGCATTTAGGTTAACCCATTGTAATGTTGAGTTACAATGTAGACAAATATAGTCACATAATATACTGGTTAAAACAAAAGTCGTTGGCATCCTATAAAGGAGTATTCCACCAGCAAAAAGGAGTATTTTCTCTAGAAAAAAAAAACGGCGAGAAATGATACATTTTGAATTGCCCGTTTTTACAGCGGCCTTTAATTTATTGAGTATTTTAACCTTAAAAAATACCGAAAATTTCACACAGTGGTTACAATGTCCTAGATGATACTACACATCATGTCTCTTGTCATACCCAACCGATCTGATTACGTCTGCGTCGCGTTGGCGAATGCTGACCTATATTTCTGTAATCATAATATACGAATCAGGTCGAATTATGCAACGGTCTCATCCTTCGATAACAGCACGTACATACAATACGAAATGAACTATACGAGATTGTTATTACTGTTCTGTAAAACAATACTGCTTTATGCGTGGTCGTAACTGTGGTTTCATTGCTGATTTGGCCTACACCTCAATATGATGGTATTAATAGGCACCTGCTAAAATTACCAATATTAATAATATATACTAGGTATGTCAGTAGCATAAAAGATGTTATTATGATATCTTCACGCCTTTTTTCTCTTGGGATAGGCATAAACTACAGACCACTGCTTGCTTCTATCCTGACATGTTCTATTGCTTCTTTTACATTCATACATCTTTTAATACAAGGTTTAAGTAACCCTAATTTATAATGCCTCCAAATTTATAACATTGAATATGCTAAATTTACTATAGTTTACAGGTACAAGTAAATACATTAAAGTGAATGCATATAAAAATAAAACATAACTGCAACAAAGCGATTTTACTGCTAAATACTACCTTTTTAAGACAACTTTTAGATAACGAGGTTGATAGAGAGATAAGCCATATAAGGAAAAAAGAAAATTATTTACGGTCTGTAGTCTGAGGAATCATTTAATGCTATATATAATTAATATATAATTCAAGTATACAAATTTAATATTGTTATACATCAATCATCTGAAAAGTATTTGTCTATAAAGACAAATATTTGTTATTTTATTTATTTATATATACATATTTATACTGATCGATTTTTAATACTAATCTCATACTTAGATAGCAAATTAAATACAATAATATAAAAAAAATGTTATTAAACTACTTACTGTGTACTACTTATAATTAATTAAATTTCCTGAATGTATAATTAATTAATATTGTTTTCCTGCATGATGTGATCGCGACAGAATTGTTGTATCCTCGCGCAGGCCTCGCGTAGTATATGTTCAGGCACAGTGAGTACTATTCTCATGAAATTAGGAAAGTCGAAACACTGTAAACAAAAAAATATATCTTATTTCACGGTATTATAACTAACTATAACTATTTAACGGTATTATAACGATTTACTTAACCGTAAGTATCTCATAAAATTTATAAATAAAAGAAATCTTTAATTTTTATAAAATTTGTATAATCCTAATACAGACGTAAACCCATTCGATTATTAGAACAATTAGACGTATAGAATTCTAATTCAAATTTACGATCCATTTCCATTATAATTTTTTTATAAAAAAATACAAAAAAAAGTAAAGTGTAAGTAACGCAAATAAATTATATATCTATCTATCTGTCTAAAAAGTATTACCCGGTTCGGCTCTCCACGATGCTCTATTTTGATGTAAATGTAGAATAAATAAACACACTTATCTTAGCAGAGACTTTGTACAAAAGTCGTTTGCTTGGGTACCCTACTTCTGCCCCATTCGTGCTTCTATCGTGAAACAGTTGTGTTTGCATGAGTTTTGGTTTGAAGGTTGGGATATGCCAATGAATTTACAGGGTACAGAGAAATAACACCTGAGTTCTCTGGAATGGCAACGCATGGGGGTATCATGGACGAAATAGTATACTCTGTTATGTCCATGGTACTGCTCATGTCTATAGGCGACGGTTACCACATTCCATCAGGTGGGCCGTCAGTTTGTTTGCCATTCCCAAATTGCATAAAAAAGATCTTTATCAGTTCAGTTGTCATAGTTCCTACTATAATAATAAGCGAACAAACAGGGACACTTTCAAATTTTAAAACTATAAGTAACAAAAAAGAACATCATCATCATTTTCAATCCACTGCTAAACATTGAAGCCTGTTTAACTGGAGGTCTATCACTGGGTTTGATCCAGATTTCTTCTCTTCCAGATACTTCTTGCCACCTTATATATTATCAGACCTTCACCTATTTTCATCTCCACTCTAGAACAAGTGTGCTCCAATCAACTCTCTGGCAACTCTATAGATATAATGATCTCCCCGCTTTTTGAACTTGCAAATTCGTTTAGCTATGTCGGTGAATCCTCTGGCTATTCACATAATATAGGTACAATTCTTTAATAAAATGCCAGGTACAGATACTCAGAATCATTGGTAAAATGTTCTAGTAACAAGCAGTTTATCAAATACAAATTGTTCTAATACGTAATACATACTTGGCCTGGTATACACAGTATGGACTGTTCACTATACATGCGCTCAATAAACTCCAGTTCATCTCTAAACACTGGAAACATTGACATTTTTATTTCTATCATCATGTACATTGCTCCTTGTGGTAAAATTGGTCGCAGTCCAGGCGCGTGGCTTAACTCTTTATATGCCAATTTAGCTTGACTCTGTAAATAGAACGGGTAATTTATGACTAGTTGTTATTAAAAAAAATGAATACCACATAAATATAGTGTTATAGAAAACCATAGCAACAACCCAAAACATGCAAAACTGAAGTTAGTAAAGTTCACCTTGATCGAAGTGTTTTAATTTATTAAGTACTATTAAACAACAGTTAAAATTTAAGAGTAAATATTTGGTTACGTTAATTTTATTTTGTAATAGGTACAAGAACTAACCTCTATAAATGACATTACACTATCAAAAAAGCTTTGTGGTACAGTTGTTAATGTTTTTGACAAAGCCATTTGGATTAATTTATTAGGTCCTAGTAGTCTTCCCGTTAAATTTCTTAACCCATCACGGATATCTTTACTAAATATATCTTGCCTGTCATGAATAACTAACCAACCCATTCGCCATCCAGGAACTAAGAATCCTTTGGTAAGACCACTGCAGACAAGTATTGGCACATCCTTAGATATACTCGCTAACGAAGTAAATTTGTTATCAAATATAACGAATTTCTCATATATTTCATCAGCTATTATAGGTAAACGATGTTTGGCTGATATTCGCAGTATGTCTCTCAAATGTTCCTTTGTATATACAGAACCACAAGGATTCGAAGGGTTTAAGACAATTAATGCGGCGGTTTTATCATCAATTTGGTCTTCCAAATTCTTTAAATCAACTTCCCAATTTTTCTCAGGCTGAAACGAAATAAGTTAATGTTTGGAAATCGCAGTTTTTTATTTGCAAGTACTGAATATTTTATTTTTTAAAAATTTTAAAGCAGAACCATTAAATTTGGTGACACTAGTAGAAATTAGATTGGCAGATCCAATATATATTATATATATTATAGATTTACTAAAGTGTTCAATTAATATAATCATTAACTCACCAATAAATTATAGTGCTTGATAACTATACCCAGTCCTTCAGCTATAGTACGGTATAACATGTAGCCAGGTCTCGGTACCAGTATATTCTGACCAGGTTCAGCAAGAACTGTTATAGCCAAGTCTAATGCTTGTGCGCATCCATTACACAGGATAACATCGTCTGCTGAGACCTGTCCTTGGTGCGCGTAATACTCCGCCACGGCTTGTCTTGCAACCAAAGCACCGTTAGTAAGACCATAGCATCTGCTTTCATTCTCATCTAAGCTGTTTCGGACTGCTTGTAGCAACTCCTCTGGCGGTGTAAGATTTCCAAAAGCAGTTGGATCGCCTAGAATAATAATTTCATTTAATTAATTTACCATTTATCCATTTGGGACTCCGGATTTATTACAGTTTTACTTCAACAAGTTTTACTTAAAAACCAAGCCTGAACTTGATATTCACAATGATAGTCACTCTGTATTCGTGGCTAAATTAAAATGTTGATGTACCTCCCCATTACATTATATTTATTTATAATAATTTAAATACAATTTCCATTATTTATATTATATTATTATTCATATTGTTAATGTCTTTACTCATATAATGACATTTAATAATTTGATTCTATTTAAATTTTTATCAAACTCAAGGCATGCCTATAAATGTAAGAACAGTTAGATCTAACCTACCATTGTACTGAAATTTTTAGCTGTATCTTATGTTGATAATCCTATAAATAAATAAACATATTTTATGAACTACTAGATATTATTATTATTAGATACACTTGTTTTTTTTTTTTAATCCTTTAATCATACTAATAGTAGAGAATCTTACATGAACATAGTAGGTAGGTATTGTCGTATTTTTCGAATAATATTATGCTCAAAAACAATTATAGAATTACTTGTAAGTATCGATTACATTAAAGCTAGTTCTTTTTTTTTAATTTATATGACAACACATTCCATTTTATTTCCATTATATTTCTAAAAGCTGAATGCTTTGTACAGTTCTCTGCCAATTATTTCAATTTTTACAATCATTGAACATATGCCACAAAAAGGTTCTAAAATGTTACACTATAAACAGATAAATAAATATATGTACTTAGTTTACATACTTACCAATAGAAAGTGGTATAAAGTTTTTATTAGGATTAGGTTTCACTTGAATCTTTTCCACAATGTTCCTGATTAAATTTTGCGTATTTCTCGACATTGTAGAAGCACGAATGGACCACGGTTTATTCATTTTGTAGTCAATGATAATTGCTTAGCATAAAATACAGGAAGCAGTCAACATAGCATAAACGTTGAATAAACGTTACAATTATGATAATTCACAATTATTATAGCTTCACTAAATAAAAAATGTGTCAAGTAAACCCTTATGTTTGTTTATTTTTAATTTTTCCTTTATATCATTATACAAAGCGACCGTTTTCGTTAGTAACTTGAATCTTGTAATATAACAACACACATGGTGATAAAGTCTCGAAATTTATATGAATTAAAATAAACCTTAAATAAATAATTCTTTAAGAAGTTATTTATCTAATGCGATAAAAATCAAATTGCCACAGAATACTATCTATAACTACTTCATAAGAATATTTGTATATAGATAATATATAGACAAAAATAGTCTTTTTTCTATTGTAATAAAGTACATACAAACATGTTATATAGTACATAAAAACATGTTTTGTAGATAGATGATGGTACACACATTTATTTTATCCCGTACTCACGTACGCAACAATATTATTAACTGTGAGAAGCAATATAAGAAAAGAGTTATTTTTAACCTATTTCAAAAAGAAGGAGGTTCTCATTTCGATTGTATTTTTTTTATGTTTATTACCTCATAACTACATTAGTTCTAACCCGATTTTGAAAATTATTTTTTGAAAAGGATATATTTAAATTGACATAATAATTTACGCCCATTTTAAACGATGTCTATAATAATTAATTATCGTTATTTATTTACTCTTTATTGCAACACTTAAAGAACAATATATGTATATCACACTTATGAAGTACAAAAGGCGTTCTTATCGCTAAAGCAATCTCTTCCAGACAACCTTTGGTTAGAGGAGAAAGAAAAAAGACGATCGCTATTTAGCGCTAGAAGTGTAACTAATAAACAAAGAAAAATGCTCAGGTTAATAAAACATATGCAAATAATCATATACACACATTACATCTAAGTATTTACAATAGTATATACTACATAAAAGTAAAAGCGGGAAACAGTGTTAACGGTGCACTGCTCTCGATTATGTCAAGTAAAAATGTATCGAGCAAAGCTCGCCTTGCTATAATTCAAGGAGTACTGACACCAACACTCATGTATGGAAGCGAATCGTGGGTATGGCAGAAGAAGCATGAAAGTAAGATAAATGCTGTACAGATGAGAGCTTTGAGAAGTATGTGTGGTATTACTTTAAAAGATAGAGTAAGAAACAGTGTGATTAGAGAGAAGTGTGGACTGAAAGACGATGTAGTGACAAAAATTGAAAAAGGAATGTTGCGTTGGTTTGGTCATTTGGAGAGGATGGATGAAAGAAGAATTACGAAAGAGATTTACCGAGCAAGAATGAATGGAGATGTCGGTAGGGGCCGCCCTAGACGGACGTATGTCGACCAAATAGGCGACGTGCTGAAGAAGGGCCAAATTAAAAGTACCCGTAACCGACGAGCGTGTATGACAAGATTGATGAATGTGGAAGAAGCGAAAGAGGTTTGTTTGAATCGAAGCATTTGGCGTTCCATTGTTTCTGCCTACCCTAATGGGAGACAGGCGTGACAGATATGTATGTATGTATGTATATACTACATAAATAAATACAGTGGACGCTCTATATAAGCAAACTCTCTATAAGCAACGTTCTTTATATTTTATTTATTCTACTCAGCTTAGTTAGTAATATAAATAAATAAAAATATTTTCCAGACAGTAAATATTTTTATACTCCTTTTTCCCCTGTAAGCAACTTTTTCCAATAAGATTTTTTTTATTGAAATTGGTTCAAATGAGTTACTTATATAGAGCGTTCACTGTATATAAAATTCATAACATATATTTATATATTACACATATTCACTATAATTTGGAGGATAACAAGTGGACGTGACATGCCTGTTAAATTTTGCAACTTTTTGACAGTTTAAAATCACAACGTTTCTTACTACCTACATGCCATTTAGTATTCTCAAAATTAAAACATATCGAGCATACTCCCTTTTTACTAAAACCTGTCAAGCTAATAATCATTGCTCCTAAGTACCAACATTATATACCCGGAAAACATTAACCTCCTTTCTCCGGCAGTTGGGTAAAAAAATAATTAACTGATATTACGAACGTCAAATTATTTAATCCGGATGCGTTCGTAGCTAATCGATCTCATTTGACATGTAGCTCCGGAAAAAATCGTTAAAGCAATTTATTTAACATAAATGCAATATGAGATGTGTTTCTTTTTTTCTCTTCGCTACCTTCTCAGTCGGATTACCTAATCGTACCACTACGGATCTATATCATAAAACATATTACATCCGATTGAAACCATTGATTGCGTATTAAAAACTCGTTTATTGATAGTCGTGATCATGATGCGAGCAAGTTATGCAATGTCAATGTCAGATGTACCGCCAACGTAACCTAAGAACAAGGTATTACATAGAAGGAGTGATAGAATTGTCAATTCATAGCAAGCTAGTGTATAGAAAATATAATCCTTATAAAATATAACCCTACCAAATTCAGATACAACCTGCTTGCATACTTTCCACATACACTTTGTCGAATATATAATCTAGTAATGTAAAATTTGTTATTGTCAAATATTTGACATATTAAACATTTTCTATACACTAGCCTGCTATGAATTAAGAAAAATAGCAACTGAGGGTGAAAATATTTCGTCCTAAAAATTTTCGCCATAAAAAAAAGGAGGCAACCATATGATTTACAGTTTTTATTTTATCACTCTTTCGATGTAATTCCTTGTTCTAAGAACGGAACATAATATCAAGCATCCATGTCATAATAAATAATACATTACAATTATATGTTTATCGTCAAATATTTGTACAAGAACCGTCAGCCATTTGACCTAGCTAATACAGTCGTTAAAATAACAAATTTCGATTTAGATGACCTTGTGTAGTCCATATGATACAAATTGAATATTAGTAAAATATATGTAAATAGTAAATTGTCAATAATTTATCTTATTATTAATAAATTTCTATTATAATTGTATTATTATATATATTATATTAATTGTATTAATCCTTTACATGCACATAAAATGAAAAAAGCAGGCGATGGGTAGGCCGTCAGCTTGTTTATTTTTCTTTGATAGAAACTAGTAATCATCGCCTATTAATACAAACAAATTCACGGACATATCTAAAGTAAATACTTATACTATTTTATAACACTCATGGCATCCTTCATGCATTGGTACTTTTGAAGATTAAGATTCCTTTACTAATCGATGAAGATTTCGTGATATAACGATACGTTTATTTCAGTTTTTTTTAGTGATACGAAGAAGTACCATTATACGTAGGTACGGAATAAACTAGAAAACAAGTTAGTGTAAATTAATCATAAATTACAATAAACAAAATACTTGTTACATTATTGCACTATTGGGGAAAAACTGTACCCATAAATTCCATAAATTCAAGTTTTTGATTTAAAAAACTTACTATGCTAAGGATTGATAGGGATTGATGTTAATACTTTTTCCACTTATCAGCATTGATCACTGGCCTTACTCTTGTCATTACCTGACCATACGTACCTAAATATAGTCCATAGACAAAGTAATAATACTGTATAATGCTACATTACGTTCTATTATGATGGACATAAATGTACGTCGAGTATTGTCCGTCACTATTGCGATTGTTGCGTTGCATTTCGCTTCTTCTACATTCGTCACTGCACGCGTGGTCGGCGATTGATTGCCGAGTCCCAGCACGACTACTTTTACTACCGTTTTTGTTCACTTTTACTGGGCCCGTCTTCATTAAATCAGTTGCGGTAACAATACTATCCGTGAATTTTGCGCACTTTCGCTTCGTACATAATTTCCAAGTTTTTTGTTTTTATTTATGCATCTATGTATTGAATATCGAATAGCAGACAAGGTGATGGCCCACGTAATGACAGGTAACCATCGCCTATAGATATGTAAGATACCATGGATATTATCTGTGATCATGAGCTGATACCTGTGATAGTGCTGATTGCATCACTGTGTACACTGTGATCTATATACACTGTGATGGTACGTGATGTGATGATAACTCTGACCTAGATTGAATATCTTATGCTTCCGTACCTTATAATTTCACTGTCATGCCCCACAATTAAAACTGAAACCCAGTCATACAAACATAGTGGTTGCACAGTAAAAACACAAGTAAAGCTAAAGTACACATGCAGACGACTTTAATTAAGTATATATATTTTTTATACAAGTTAGAATGGCAAACAAGCTGACGGCCCACCTGATGGAAAGTGGTAACCGTCGCCTATAGACATGAGCAGTACCATGGACATAACAGAGTATACTGTTTCGCCTATTTACAAATACACAACAAAAAATTTTATGAACTTACTGTGTCTGTCGTTTCCGATAATTGTAATTAAATAATTAGGCGATAAAAATTAACATAATTAGTCGAGACTTTGTGATATAAAGCGCTCTCCCTGCAGAAGACTTCCCAATGAAGTCGAAACGACAAACACAGTAAGTTCATGAACTTTCCGTTGTGCTTGTGTATAACAATCGTTAAAAATAAACATAAGTTTTAAAAATAACATAACTTTAATTATATTTATAGGATTCTATAATTAGCTACTATGTATAATATATACAAAGTAAAATCTAATTTATTAGCATCATTTTTTTTATTGCTCGTGTTCAGTTTCCTGGTAGAATACTTCCTTTAATTAAATGCTAATTATTCCGATGTCATTCTGTATTAAATATACATTTCACGTAGGAGTAAATATTTTATAATGACAAGATAAATCAAAAGGTACACGTCACTGATAGATGAAACTTTGAATATAGAACAGGTGACCAGTATGCTCTATGTATTTATCATAATATTTTTTTAATTTATTTATGATCGTAAAATTTATAATTGTAGTATTTAGACAAGTGTGATACCTATCACACTTCTATTATCTATGTTATGTTACCTATATATGTATAACATAGATAATTTCTGTGCATAGATTTGTATAAAAACGAGTAGATATAATTTGTTATAATATTAAATATAATTTTATTAAAATGAATTATAGTACTTGTAGCTATAGTAATATTATTGTCTTTTTTGTTTTGTTTCGTAAATACAATTGGTTGTCAATAAAGCTTTGTTTTCTTTCTTTCTTTCTTAAATCGGTAATTGGGTATCGTATGAAAAGATAATTTGTACGTTCATATTACC